TTTTTTCTAAACTTGGTAAACTTCAAGGAGTGGGAGGAGGAACTCAGGAAAACTCTTCGAAATTGTTCCTTAGAGTACACTCTTGACACTCCCATTCCAAGCTTCTTCTCTAAGGGGATCATGACCGATGAGGCTCATGAAGAATGGTCTTCCAATTGCAAGAAAGTCTCACGTCTCATGGCCAATTCCATCCTGGAAGACTCATGGCCAACTCCATCCCGGAAGATTGGAAGGAAAGCCTTTCCTCCTACCTTCCGGACATGTTCCTCAAAGCACTTGAGGACATTGTCAATGTAAGAGTCATCAAAAGTGACAATGACAACTATGATGGACTCGAGTTTGATTTGACTAGGTCACTCTCAAACATGAAGATAAAGCCACCAAATGTGGGTTGTCTTGCTAAGGAAAGGCGTCGGCTTTGGACAAAGGTCTACAATGCCAAATTGAGACCCGGCATGCCCCTCCGACCTCATGTGCTTGGAATGACTAGGCTCTTCAAACACATGCAGCTTCTCGGAATCTCATTAGAGGATGAGATAGCGGCCCGGGGCATATCTTGATTGCTTCGCTCCACTCGGGCTTAGATGCACTTAGAGTGCATATAGCTACGGGAAAGGAGACACACTCCTTAATGGAGGTGGTGCAACTACTCAGCCGAGCCACCGCATGTGGAGTGACCGAGAGGCCCTTGAGAGCAAGGAGAAGAGAGTTCAAGAAGGTCAAGGCAAAGATGCGTTGCTTCTATTGTGGTGGGCAAGGCCACTACAAGAGAGAATGTAAGCTCTTTCGGGAAGAGGAGGAGAGGAATGGAGCATCTGCCTCAGGTATCTTCCTTAAACACTTGTGAATTAAGCTTATCATAGGTATTAGATACCATGTATGACTCACTTTATGTTGCCTTTTCAGGGACCAAGTGAGAAGCTTATCAAGTGTTGGTGCAAGGACAAGTAGACGAAGAAGATGGTTTTTCGGTCGTGCTTGCATGCACTATTTTGTCTATGACATGTAATTAAACTAATCTTAGTTTTCATCATGCTTTTGAACATACTATGATCTATGGTGTTGGACACCTAGTTATTTTGAATGTAAGACTTTGACAATGGTTGTTTCAAAATTGTCTTGTAAATATATGTTCAATGAAAATTGCATGTTTTACATATGATTAGACAAAAGTTGATACCGCTACTTAAACTAAGACATCTAAGAATTCAACTTCATTAACAAACATTAGTAGATATGGTTATGTCTACCTAATGTCGAATAAATCTGAATCTTTTAGCAAATTCAAAGAATTTCAGAAAGAAGTTGAGAATCAACTTGGCAAGAAAATTAAAGCACTTCGATCGGATCGAGGTTGCGAATATTTGAGCCATGAATTCGACGATCACCTGAAAGAAAATGGTATTTTTTCAGAGTTGACACCTCCTGGGACTTCTCAATGGAACAGAGTATCCGAACGGAGGAATCGAACCTTGTTAGACATGGTTCGATCAATGATGGGTCTTAGTGAACTTCCTATCTCTTTCTGGGGACATGCGCTACAAACCGCGGCACTAACACTAACCGAGCTCCGTCAAAAGCTATTGAAAAGACTCCATATGAATTATGGACTAAGAAACCTCCTAAGTTGTCTTTTCTTAAGATTTGGGGATGCGAAGCATATGTCAAACGATTAATTTCCGACAAACTTCACCCGAAATCGGATAAGTGTTTCTTTGTGGGATACCCAAAAGAAACCAAAGGGTATTACTTCTATAATGAACCCGAGAACAAAGTATTTGTTGCTCGTGATAGTGTCTTTTTGGAGAAAGAACACCTTTCAAAAATGACAAGTGGTAGGAAAATCGAACTCGAAGAAGTTCGAGAGAACGAGCAATAATGTCAACCTGATAAAACTGACAATCTAAGTACTTTGAAAGCAATTGAGAATATTGGTCATAATCAAACAGACAATGTAAATGCTCAACCCATTACCCTTCGTAGGTCGCAACGGCAAAGATCTCAACCAGACAGATACCTTGATATTGTCTTAACCGATGATCAGGACATCCTAGTTATGGATGGAGATGAGCCAGCGACATACAAGCAAGCTATGACGAGCCCTGACTCTGCTAAATGGCAAGAAGCCATGAAATCCGAGATGGACTCCATATCTGAAAATCAAGTCTGGGACTTGGTGAATTTGCCCGAGGGTTACACACCCATTGGTTGCAAATGGATCATCAAATTGAAGAAAGACAAGGATGGAAATGTATCGATTTACAAGGCTAGACTGGTGGCGAAAGGTTATAGACAAATCCACGGGATTGACTATGATGAAACCTTTTCACCATTTGCAATGCTAAAGTCTGTCCGGATTATCCTAGCGATTGCAGCATATTACGATTATGAAATATGGCATATGGATGTCAAAACCGCCTTCCTAAATGGGATTTTGGAAAAAACTGTGTATATGACACAGCCAGAAGGTTTTGTTGATCCAAGCAACGCTGGAAAGGTATGCAAGCTTAAGAAGTCCATTTATGGACTGAAGCAGGCAAGTAGAAGTTGGAATCTGCGATTTGATGAAGCCATCAGCAAGTTTGGTTTTATCAAGAATCCAGATGAATCTTTTGTCTACAAGAAGGTCAGTGGGAGTGACATCGCATTCCTAGTCCTATATGTCAATGACATACTGCTCATTGGAAACAACACAAAATTGCTAGAGTCCGTAAAGGGCTGGTTGGGAAAGTGCTTTTCAATGAAGGACTTAGGAGAGGCACAGTACATATTGGGCATCAAGATCTACAGGGATAGATCTAAGAGGATGATTGGATTGAGCCAGAGTGATTACATTGATAAGGTACTGGCACGATTCCACATGGAGAATGCCAAGAGAGGGCATTTACCCATGTCCCATGGCGTAACTCTCAGCAAGAAACAGTGTCCACAAACACCTGTTGAGCGAGAGAGAATGAATCAGATCCCATATGCTTCGCTAATTGGATCGATCATGTATGCCATGATATGTACCAGGCCAGATGTATCGTATGCCTTGAGTGCTACGAGCCGATACCAATCGGACCCAGGAGAGGCGCATTGGACTGCGGCCAAGAATATCCTGAAGTACCTGAAAAGGAACAAGGATAAATTCCTGGTTTATGGTGGCCACAAAGACTTGGTTGTTGAAGGTTATACCGACGCTAGCTTCCAGACTGACAGAGACGACTTCAAGTCACAGTCAGGGTACACATTCTGTCTGAATGGAGGAGCGTTTAGCTGGAAGACTGCCAAGCAGAGCACCACTGCAGATTCTACAACTAAAGCCGAATACTTGGCTGCTTTAGAAGCCACTAAGGAGGCTGTTTGGATTCGCAAGTTCGTCAGTGAACTTGGTGTTGTACCCTCCATCAAGGGTCCGATAGATCTCTAATGTGACAACAATGGAACTATCGCTCAGGCTAGAGAGCCAAGAGAGCACCAGAAGGTCAAACATGTCCAAAGGCGATTTCACATGATAATGGAATGAAAATCCGAAGGTGAAATCAAAATTTGCAAGATTGGCACAGATGATAATGTGGCTGATCCTTTGACTAAACCTCTGCCTCAAGTGAAACACAACAAGAACTTTGAGGCAATGGGAATCAAGCACGTCGGAAACTGGCTTTGAAATTCCCTGTACATGTGTTTTAATTAAACTAGATGTTTTGATGTGAATCAAGAGGGAAATTCTTTTGAAGAGCCAATCATATTGGTTTTAAGTCCAATAGGGTTCGAGCTTGGAGTAAAGAATCAAGAATGGTTAACATGCACAGCCATTGAAGAAGAAGTCAAGGACCAGTTGGGTTCCGACGACGGCAGCGGTGGCGACGCGCCGATCTGGGTGCCACGCGCCGGCTCCCTAGCTCCGGCCTGAGTCTAGATACACGGCAGTGGGGCGCGTGTCGATGTTGGCGGTGCGTGGGGTGGTGGTTCGGCGGCAATACGAAAAGAAAGATTTTCCTAACTTAGTTTTTTCTAGGATTTTTGCTTGCAAGTTTTTACCTTTCACTTGAAAGGATTTTTCTTGGTTTAAGCAATTAGGATTCTTTTTAATTTCTGTTATTTTAGTTTAAAATAATTTCTAAGTCAATTAGGAATTGTTTTAAGAAGTTTTAGGATTAGTCTTATTACTAGTTTCCTAGTTCCATTAGAATTGGTTTTCCTATTCTATCAAGGATACTTGGGGATCAAGGCTAGGGTTTTTTTTCCTAGTTCGAATAGACTTAGGAATAGTTAGTTTTAGTCTATAAATATGGGATTTTTCGTGGCTTTGTACACACAACCAGAAAATTCAATACAAGTTTATTGTTTGTTTTGCTTAATTGCTTACAAATTCTTTTGCTAGTTTTCAATTCAAGGAGTTGTTTTGATAATTAGAACGTTCAATTCTTAGTTCTAGGAGTATTCTTAGTTTTGTTCATCAAAGTACTTAGTTCCAGGAGTGGTCTAGGTAATTTGAGAGGCGTTGAAGTCGTTCCAGGAGTGGTCGTTTTCAAAGTCATATCCGGTTTGTTATCTTTAAGTTGTTCGATTTTCTAAGAAGATTTGAAGGGCTTATTTTACTTGTGTGATTTTAGATTCTTTATTAAGTTAAGGGGTTTAAATCCACATCAAATTGGTATCAGATTTGGGGAGATTTTGATCGTTCCACAACTCGTTCTTACAAGGCGCACTCGTTCTCGAATTTCCGGTTTTCTGTCAACTTCAGAGGGCTCGTTCTCCTTTGTTACGAGGTCTTTTGAAGCGATTCGTTTTTTGATTTTGGGTGAAATTTTGTCAAATTTCTTCCTGTAAAATTTCAGAATTTGTGGCTGTCGTTTGCTATTATACTGGACTGTTTTCCGCAACGGTGTCAGTTTGGTCCGATTAATTGCTACTTGTTTTTGTGTGTGCGTTTTTATTCGAAGTTGTGCTGTGATCTTTTGTGGGAATTACCTGTGAGTGTAGGGTCCTATTAGGACTGTTTTTATATTATAATAATGGAGGAAGCCTTGAGCAAACTCATGGATGAATTTGCAAGATTGCAAGATAATACGGAGGCCCGTTTTAATGCTTTTTTACAACTATTGCTTGATAAAAAGAAAAAGAAGAAAAAACGGCATGATAGTGATAGTGATGCTTCTAGTAGTGATGATGATAATCATAATAAGAATAAGATCGATGATAAAGGTATCAAGCTTGATGATTTTACGGGTCTAGGAAGCCCCGAAGATTTTCTTGAGTGGGCGAGACAATTAGAGAAAATTTCAGATTATAAGGGTTTTGATGATTCCCAACGATTCAAGATTGCTTATATTAGACACACTAAGAATGCGGGAATTTGGTTCGATAATTTGAAAGCACGACGTGCTAGGGCAGGAAAAGAAAAAATCAAGACTTGGACGGTTTTGAAAAGGAAGATGCGTTCTAAATATCTTCCACATGATTTCGAACAAACTCTATATGTGAGACTCACTATGTTGGTACAAGGTACTAAGAGTGTTAATGAATATATTACTGAATATGATAAACTAACCTCTCTTTGTGATTTGGATGAAAAAGAACCATTGAGGATTCCTAGGTTCCTTAAAGGTCTAAATCGCACTATCTCTAGGAAGATTGAATTGAGTACGTATGAATCATTCAATGATGTGTGCAAACTAGCTTTAAAAATTGAAAGTCATTGGCTCAAAGATAAGAAGAGCACAAGTACAAAGAATTTTTGTACCAAGTTCTCACAAGGAACCAAAACAAGCAAAACTTTCAAGCCTTTTAAACCGAGTTCCTACGAGTCTAAGGGAGAAAGCTCAACAAGTGGAGAAAAGAAATTTGTTAAGATATCTAAAGAAGAGTTCGAATCCCGAATTAGGTGTTTCAAATGTCAAGGAAAGGGACATAGGTCGGATCAATGTCCTTCCAAGAAAGCTCTCACAATAAGACAATACGAACAACAAGTAGAAGAAGAGAAACACATAGTTTTTGGGTGTGACGATGAGGAATCCGAAACTAAGGCAACAAGTAGTGAGGAAGAGAACGATGAGATTGATCCCGAAGATGATGAAAAAGTGCTTGTAGTAAGGAAGATCCTCCATGCCGAAGCAAACCCTAACAAATCTCAACGTGAAAACTTATTCCATACTCGTCGCAAAGTAGGAGATATATCATGCAAGGTGATCATTGATAGTGGTTCATGTACTAATGTGGCGTACACAGAGATGGTTACTAAGCTCAACCTTCCAACAAGGGTACATGAGAATCCTTACAAGTTGAGTTGGCTCGATGATTCTAAGGGACTTCATGTGAAGAAACAAGCCTTAGTAAGCTTTTCCATTGGCAAATACAAAGAAAAGTTATGGTGTGATGTTATTCCTATGAGTGCTTGTCACCTTCTTTTAGGGAGACCTTGGCAATTTGATCATCAAGTTACACATGATGGTGAGGCAAATACTTATTCGGTCAAAATAGGAAACAAAAGGTTCAAACTTAATCCTCTACCTCCTAATTCAAGCTACGGTCATACCAAAGATAAAGAGAAGCAAGTGCTGAATTTCTTTTTGAATGCTAAGGAACTTGAGAGTGAATTAGAAAAGGGTACCACGGTCTTTACCTTAGTGATAAAAGAGGCAAAATCCATAAGTTCCTCAACAAACATGCACATAGAAGAATTACTAGACGAATTTAAGGATGTGTTCCCGGAGGAACTTCCTAAAGGTCTACCTCCTTTGCGTAGAATAGAGCATGCTATTGATCTTATTCCCGGAGCTTCTCTACCTAATAAACCAGCATATAGGTGCGATCCTACGGCTTCTCAAGAGCTTCAAAGACAAATAGAGGAATTGATTGAAAGAGGCTATGTTCGAGAAAGCATGAGCCCTTGTGCGGTTCCAGCTTTACTAGTTCCAAGGAAAGATGGTACATGGAGAATGTGTATTGATTCAAGAGCGGTCAACAACATTACTATCAAGTATCGATTTCCTATGCCAAGACTAGAAGATATGCTTGATGAGTTACATGGTTCTACCATATTTTCCAAGATCGATCATAGAAGTGGTTACCATCAAATGCGAATTAGAGAAGGAGATGAATGGAAGACTGCTTTCAAAACTAAGCAAGGATTATATGAATGGATGGTCATGCCTTTTGGGCTATTCAATGCGCCAAGTTCATTCATGAGGCTCATGAACGAGGTACTTCGACCCTTCTTAAATAAGTTCATTATCGTTTACCTTGATGATATATTAGTCTATAGTCGAGATAATATTGAGCATATTGATCATCTTAGAAGATTATTTGAAACCTTAAGAGAACAACAACTATATGGCAAACTTGAAAAGTGCTCATTCATGGTTCCAAGTATTTCTTTTCTTGGCTATATTATTTCGGGAAAGGGTATTGAAGTGGATCCCGAGAAGGTGACTGCTATTTCTACTTGGGTGGCGCCTAAAAACATTCGTGAAGCACGTAGTTTTCATGGTCTTGCATCGTTCTACAGAAGGTTCATTAGAAACTTTTCTAGTATCACGGCACCTTTCACGGAATTGATGAAGAAAGGGGACTTTGTGTGGACTAATTCGGCGCAACAAGCATTTGAGACAATCAAGGAAAGACTATGCAATACACCGGTTCTAGCTTTGCCTAACTTTGATAAATTGTTTGAAGTTGAATGTGATGCAAGTGGAGCAGGTATAGGTGCGGTTCTAATTCAAGAAGCACAACCTATCTCTTACTTTAGTGAGAAACTAAGTGGTGCAAAGTTGAACTACTCTAACTATGATCGTGAATTTTATGCTATTGTACGTGCTTTAGATCATTGGTCTCATTACTTAAGACCAAAACCTTTTGTGCTACATTCGGATCATGAAGCTTTGAAGTATATCCATGGACAACAAAAGTTGAATTATAGACACGCCAAGTGGGTTGAGTTCCTACAATCTTTTACGTTTTCTTCAAAGTATAAGGAAGGCAAGGCGAATGTGGTTGCCGATGCACTATCAAGGAGATCTTATTTGCTAGCCATGGTGGATGCTAGGATCATTGGTTTTGACCATATACTTGATTTGTATGCAACATGTCCGGATTTGGCAAAAGAGTACAAAGACCCTTCACGCAACTTTATGCTTCAAGATGGCTTCTTATTTCAAGGTAACAAACTTTGTATTCCTCAATGTGGTGTGCGTGAATTGCTTATTAGAGAAGTGCATAGTGGTGCAATTGCGGGGCAATTTGGTGCTCACAAAACAGTTGATATGCTTAGTGAATATTTCTATTGGCTAAAGATGATCAAGGATGTTCAAAGTGTGATTTCAAGATGTGCTACTTGTTAAAAGGCAAAGAGATCTTTTTTAAAGGGTTTATATATACCTCTTCCAGTTCCAGATTGTCCTTGGGATAGTGTTAGCATGGACTTCATTGTTGGACTACCACGAACTCAAAGAGGGAAGGATGCTATTATGGTTGTAGTTGATAGATTCTCAAAGATGGCTCACTTTGTTCCAATGCACAAGACGGATGATGCGCAACATGTAGCTAATCTATACTTCAAAGAAATTGTTCGACTTCATGGAGTTCCTAGAAGCATAGTTTCGGATAGGGACTCAAAGTTCCTTAGTCATTTTTGGAAGTGTTTGTGGAAGCTACTTGGAACAAAGCTCATGTTTAGTACTTCTCATCATCCTCAAACAGATGGTCAAACTGAGGTAACCAATCGAACCTTAGGTACTTTACTTAGAGGGGTGGTTAGTAAGACTCAAAAAGATTGGGATATGAGACTTTGCAATGCGGAGTTTGCTTATAATCGGTCACCTTCATCAACTATACAACAAGCTCCATTTGAAGTTGTTTATGGTATTAATCCATTCTTGCCTATTGATTTGCTGCCATTAAACAAAGAGGAAATCCATATTGATGCTAAGAAACGGCTTGAAGTTTTTAAGAGGACATGTGAACAAGTTAAAGCAAGGATTGAGAAGATGAATAATACAAAGCAAGGTCAAACAAAAAGCGCAAGCAACCTACATTCAAGCCGGGAGATCTTGTTTGGTTACACTTAAGGAAGGAAAGATTTCCAAGCAAAAGGAAGAACAAGCTCATGCCTAGAGCTGACGACCCTTTTGATGTTTTGGAAGTTTATGGTGATAGTGCTTACAAACTTGATTTACCAAGCGAATATGGTAATGTAAGTGCTACTTTTAATGTTGGTGATTTGTCTCCTTCCCTAAATGATGTGAATTTGAGGACAAATTCTTTTGAAGAGGGGGAGAATCGTGTGAATCAAGAGGGAAATTCTTTTGAAGAGCCAATCATATTGGTTTTAAGTCCAATAGGGTTCGAGCTTGGAGTAAAGAATCAAGAATGGTTAACATGCGCAACCATTGAAGAAGAAGTCAAGGACCAGTTGGGTTCCGACGACGGCAGCGGCGGCGACGCGCCGATCTGGGTGCCACGCGCCAGCTCCCTAGCTCCGGCCTGAGTCCAGATACACGGCGGTGGGGCGCGTGTCGATGTTGGCGGCGCGTGGGATGGTGGTTCGGCGGCAATACGAAAAGAAAGATTTTCCTAACTTAGTTTTTTCTAGGATTTTTGCTTGCAAGTTTTTGCCTTTCACTTGAAAGGGTTTTTCTTGGTTTAAGCAATTAGGATTCTTCTTAATTTCTTTTATTTTAGTTTAAAATAATTTCTAAGTCAATTAGGAATTGTTTTAAGAAGTTTTAGGATTAGTCTTATTACTAGTTTCCTAGTTCCATTAGAATTGGTTTTCCTATTCAATCTAGGATACTTGGGGATCAAGGCTAGGGTTTTTTTTCCTAGTTCGAATAGACTTAGGAATAGTTAGTTTTAGTCTATAAATAAGGGATTTTTCGTGGCTTTGTACACACAACCAGAAAATTCAATACAAGTTTATTGTTTGTTTTGCTTAATTGCTTACAAATTCTTTTGCTAGTTTTCAATTCAAGGAGTTGTTTTGATAATTAGAACGTTCAATTCTTAGTGAGGAGTAGTCTAAGTTTTGTTCATCAAAGTACTTAGTTCCAGGAGTGGGCTAGGTAATTTGAGAGTCGTTGAAGTCGTTCCAGGAGTGGTCGTTTTCAAAGTCATATCCGGTTTGTTATCTTTAAGTTGTTCGATTTTCTAAGGAGATTCGAAGGGCTTATTTTACTTGTGTGATTTTAGATTCTTTATTAAGTTAAGGGGTTTAAATCCACATCATGTTTTAATGTAAGACACTGTATTGAAACCATTCATTTACGGAGTAATTAATTTTTATGTAAAAATTACCATTCACTCCATTGCTATTTAATTGTGGTTTAGAATTAAATAATGAGTCCATTCGATTTATGGAAATATTCAAAAGAGGGTATCAAGACCATGTCTTGGATAAAGAAACACCTGTTAAGTGAACATTGAATATTTAAATTGAGAATTGTCCCTAATCGAGGTCATCTAACAGATGGACGATTGATGACCACAAGAGATTAGTGTGTAGTGTGATTTACAACACCGTTTCTTGTGCTGCAAGGACGTAATTGTCATAAATCATTTGCACAGGTACCAGTTCGAAACTGCACTGAAAAGACCTATGAGAGTACTTAAAGAGATTTTAAATTGTCATAAGTACATTTCCCATTACAGCTATCGGAACCTGTTTCCTCAACCATGAGTGTTGTGAAGTTTTCTTGTTTGAGTACTAGTCTCTTTGATGTTGCCTAACGTCTGCCGTAACTGGGGATCATAACGGGAACACTCGAGAGATTAGGTCCTCTTAGTAAGAGAAACTTACAATGCAAAACTGGGAATGTCCCCCAATTAACAATAGGGAACATGTCTTTGTTGTTTACATGGCCGCTTGAACAGCGAGACTGTGAAAATGTATGGCCGTGCTCAGATGAATTTTAGAATTCATCTGCTTATTGATAGTCGAACTCGGAGATCGAGAAACACTTCTGAACAAAATAAGGATGACGATGAATCTTACCTTATAGTTCATGAAGAGACATTAAGCGACATAGGAAATGGGCTATACACTGTATGCACACTTGTCCGGAAGGACAAGTGGGAGATTGAAAGGAATGGTGTCCTTCCACCAAGTGTATTATTCTAATAGAGGGTTCATAATTATTACAGAGCTAATTCTTCAGTAAGGTCAAGTGATCAGAATGCCTAGGTGGAGGCCGCTTCCGATCTGTAATATTAAGGTATAATTAATATTACAACTTAATCTTAACTGAACCCTTCGGGTCGAACCCAATCGAACAACCGATCCGAGACGACTAATAATCCGAAGGATTTAATGAGTCATCAGAGTTTTAAGAACACAGACGTCGGATATCGAGCCTAGGGCGTTGAGACCTAGTGTCGCAAAATCACAAGCAACAAGTACGAGCATAGCCGTAGCATCACATTGGCCTAGCCATGTGAAGTGCTAGGCTAGGCTAGCTCATCGCAAGCCTAGGCGCACCATGTGCGTGCTAGGTGCACCATAGTGTGCTAGGCGCGCCATGAGTGCTAGGCGCGCAAGGCAGCCCATCGCAGCAGCATGCTTGCGTGTGTGCGTGCCTATGCATGGCACAGTACCGCAGCATGCGTGCTTGGGTGCCTAAGCGCCATCGCAGGCCCTTCCCACAAGCACAGCACCATCACAGTGCTGGGAACTTGCGTGTGTGCGTGTGCGTGTGTGCCTAGCACTATCGCCAAGCATCAAGCCATCCAGCATGCGTGGCTCGCTAGCAGCACACATGTTGGGCTTTGCGTGCATTTACGGCATGGCTGGGCCTTGCGTGCATGTGCGCTATGGCTGGGCTTGCGTGCATGTATGCACTGTCTGGGCGGTAGTAGCTTGCTAGCAGCGCCCAATGCCTAGCAAGCAGCAGTAGCGTAGGCACTGCCCAGCACAACCACATGCATCAAGCTTGTGCTGGCTGGGGTGGTGCTAGCTGGCTGGGCATCCTAGCATTGCTAGCTAGCTGCCAGCCCAGCAGCCCACATGAGGCCGGTTTTGTGAGGGGTGGGGACCAACCCTTGGGAAAAGCCTTGGGGAGCAAGGCAATG